TTTTGAACACCTAATAGATGGAGGTAGCAAAACTATGGTCAGGGTAGATATTTAGGAAGCTGCTGTTATTGCACAGGCAACAAATGATTCTGGGCTGCCCTAGAGTAATGGCAGTTGGAATGGGAGGAGTAGTAGAATTAGAAAATTAATGCTTTCACTAGCTAATTCATGCTGGTGTGACCCTGTAGGATAAGCACTGCTCTGCTAACTGAAATATTGGCAGTTCAAACCCACCAACCACTCCTAAGAAACCCTATATATACAGTGTGCCTATGAGTCAGAACCACCTCAGCAGTACTTAACAATAACAACAGAGGTGGTCCAGGATATCTGGTTTGCAAATACTCATGAAGAATAACATTTAAGTCTAAATTAGATTGAATTATATCTGCCAAGAATATGTGTGGAGATTCAAACCTCTATACCTCTGAATGTAATCTTGTTTGGAAATAGGGGTTTCTTTGTTATATTAATTGGATCATATCTGAAAATGGTTTGTTCTAAGTCTAATCATTCAAAAGCAATAGAAAGTAATATGAGGCATGTGACATTTGAAAGGAAATACCTTTTTTATACATGTTCAATTTATGTTGTTGTTGTTAGGTGCCATTGAGTTGGTGCAGACTCATAGCGACTTTATGCACAGTAGAACGAAACCCTGCCTGGTCCTGGGCCAACCTCACGATTGTTGCCACACTTGAGTCCATTGATGTTGCCACATTGCCAATCCATCTCGCTGAGGGTCTTCCTATTTTTCTCTGGCCCTCCACCTTACCAAACATGATATCCTTCTCCAGCAACTGGTCCCTCCTGACAACATGTCTGAAGTATGAGACATGAAGTTTGGCCATCCTGGCCTCCAAGGAACACTCTGGCTGTTCAGTCTATATTGTCTAAGTTTTCTATAACTGTTTTTCATTTTCAACAAACAAATATTTAAAAACACATTTGCACAGCGTAGATGGGGCGGGGGGTGATAGTAGGGGGAATGTTCTGGGAAATCTAATTCTTAACAATTTGTAAATTTTTATCCAGAGTCACATATATGGACTTTTCCTTGTACCAGAATGTAATTTTTCCTGGCACCAGAATGTACAGAAATTATGAACTATTGTAAAGATCTGAATAGAATATCCTTTCCTTACCACCATTTCAAGCATCGCATTTTAATTTGTGCAAGTCAGTTTGTGGAAAGCAAGCTGTAGTCCCTTGCTGTAGTTCTTCAATTCTGCTATTGAATAATGAACTGGAGACAAGATTTGGTCTTCTTAAGAATTCATACTAACAGATAGTCTTATGAGCAAAGGCATAATGCTTTTTATGGTTTTTTACCCCAAACCTAGACTGTCTCACTTACATGTAGCTTTTGTTTCTGAGGAACTGTTTTCTAATTAGCTCTTTTCCCATGTAGCTTTATTCAAAACAGTCTCAGGAGATTCACTCAATGTTCTTGAATTGTATTCAAAAGTGCTGCCTTGTATATCAGATTTAGTTATAAAACTCTGTTTAAATGAGCACACAAAGTCTTGGGTCAAAAGTACCATTGAACTGAGAGTAAATCTTGAACACTTGCATTTCACTTTGA